CCCCAAACTGAGATATGCTTTAAAAGGTACTTGATGTGGCATATGTACAATGTACAGCAATTTTATTCTTCTTCGCATTCAACCCTACATTGGCGAGTGCCCCTTCCATTACGCACTCCATCCTTTCTGTCTGAAATCCCCATTTCTCAGAGCCCCTGAGAGTTAGGCACCTAACCACTTATGTTATTTTTGTCGTGAAACCAAGAGCCCCAACTTGTGCCATCCTCTTAAAACACACACGCACGCGCGCACACGCGCACACGCGCGCACACGCACGCACACGCACGCACAGGCACACACGCACACGCTTTGTCTGCCTTGGAAAGAACACACTTCAATAATCAGACGCACAAGCCTTAAAAGGACTCTGGGAAGGGGATGGAGGGAATCGCTGGGGAGTGGTTATGGTGGAGAGATTGCAGACACTACTCTGATTGTGTCCTAGCGTCAAGAAAAAAGAAGCCTCAAGGAAAAGCGGTAATCTTTTTAAATTGCTCAATTAAAATGAGGCGTTCCCTTTCAGTTTCTGCCCTTTGGTTTCATTAATTTACGGAGATGGGAACCAGTGCTAGGTCACACTGACAAAGAGTCAAAAATAAAATCCAAGCCATGAAAATGAATGGTTAAACTACCCATCCATGATCTGGTTCGCTTTATCCTCACGAGGGTCGCCAGCGTGCTGGATCCAATCCCAGCTGACTTCGAGCAATGCACCCTGAACTGGACACACATAGACAAACAAACCATATAATTGTACAAATGGCTGTGCTAGACAGTTAATACTAGGGTAGCAAAAAATTAATATTAAATTCGTTTGTCGGGGCTATCACATAGAAATGCAGCCAAAAGGATGTTGGTGTTGACTTCCTCCATGTTTCTGGCTGAGGTGACTTCACTGCTGAGCAACATGTGATCATTTCCTCTGATCCATTTCAAGATATCCGGCCTATTGTGAGCCATAATTCACATGCTTCCCACTGCAGTTATCTTTAAAGAAAAAAAAGTTACCTTTCACGTAAACAGGATGTAGATTAAGCAACAAAGGAGGAGCTTGCGGACTATATTTCTATATAAGGACAATTTATCAGACAAGAACATTGTCTTTGCCAATCTCTTCACATTCCTGGTTTGTTTTTGTATGTCATTGGAACAATACAGTCGTAACTTGTCATACCCATTACTGCTAATGAATTAATTTTAAAATCCAGGAAGTTGCCACCGTGTCAGCACAGATACGACTTAACACGACCTAAAACAAACTTGTTGATGAGCATAAAGGAAAAGATTAATTCTTGGAAGTCATGCTGTGAAAAAAAAATCAAATATTCTGCACAAGTCTTAACAACGAAATTCCCAAAGACAAATTGGTGTGAGGGGACCTTTGTTTCTGTGGTTTGGACACATGTCTGACAGAAGGGAAACGAAGACAAGGGAAACATTGTATTGTTGCACAGTATTTTCAATGACCTCATCATCTGCTTTTAGAGCTAAGTAGTCTCCTGTAACCGGATTCCAGACTGGTTGAACCGTGCTAGACTGCCTTGAAGTGAATTCGGACTATCTATCCAATAAAAGATGATTCAATATATACTGTATCTTTGTACATTTTAAAGTGGAACGATTCGGTTCGATGCACTTGCATCAATTAAAAAAAAAAAAAAAACATTCCTAATACAAATTGTTTTTTCATCCACCCCTATTATTTTGTGTGGCTTGCCGTGACATTTTTTTTCGATGTGAAATGTGCGCCTTGGCGCACTAAAGGTTGGGAAACACTGCTCTAGACTTGGCATCTGATGGAGTAGGACAATGTCCGAGCCAGGTATTATCTTGCCTCCTCAGAGTGGAGTCCCTGTCCAAGGTTAAGAGGTACTCTCTTAAAAAGGCACCGGACTGTCACTGACCGGAGGCTGCTGAGAATGGGTGGGCTTGGCAGATGCCCAGTCCCCTCTAAACCCTGCATAGTGGTTGATGATTCATCCTCTTATGCCCCGATGGGAGGGGATTTGGGTCTTTATTTAGGGGCATTTAGAAAAGATTACCCCTCAACTGCAGACTTGCAGTGGAGAATAGATAAGAGGAATGATCAGAATACCTCATCAATGCTGGGAGGCCTTAGACTAACTCCTGATATAGCTGTTCAAGAACACAGGACTATGCGGGATCAGAATCACCAATTCTTTTGAAATACATGCACAACAGGGCGCTGAACTGAACGTTCTCCTGTTGGCTGTAGCCTTAATCTGGTCCCCAATAACACCAAAGACCAGTTAACCCCAACAGGCTCTCATACTCACACACCTCACAAAGGGCCACAGGGCTGACTACACAGACACGCTTTTAAAGAGCCCAATATTTAGGGCTGTGACTGTCAACTTAAATTCCACAGTGCACAGCTGTTGCCACATTGACACGGCGGGCAAATGGTGTGAACCCGAATCTCTGTTTGCTATCAAACAGATTCAGGACTTGAGGAGTTGACAAGAGTCCAAACTTAGGTCGGCAGAGAAAGCACATATTGGACGACACAGTGCGACAGGAGCTACAGCTTCCCTCTCGTGCATTAACAGTTGAAGGTGTGGCACGTGATGTCATCTGTGACTGGCTTAGGATAAGAATATCAACAAGAGCTGAGGGAACATAAGCCTTGTAGCTACCGACACAGTGTAGTTAGAGCAATATAACGTCATTAGTGCCTTCACCTGACTGGAACAGTAATCCACGCTCAACTTCATTATCAGACAAGGCGTGCAATTTGTCTCAACACTCTGCAAATCGAGAGTAGCTTTGGTCTTGTTTCCACCATTTGCTTAGTTCAATATGGTGCATGCTTTTTTTTTTTGTTGCATTGTTAGAAGTAGTGTGTCTTTGGCCAACTACACCAGAATATAGCAGCAGATAGCCTTTTGGTATCATACGAGAAAATGGCAGTCAACATGTTAGGTTTTGTTTAGTTTTACCTCATTCTTTCGCCTGAGAGATGTCCACAGAAGAGGAAATAAACATAATAGATGGCAAAGTGTCCCAAGAGAGTTGCAAATAATAGCAGAGCGCATAATGTGGTTGAAAGCCAATGAGAGAATGAACAACCCAGCTGGCTGAAATGGTGCCAGATGGCTGACAATGCACAAGAGTGACAATATAAATACAAATATATTTCTTCATATTAATACCAATTAATAATAATTATTAAGCGATAAGCAAGTCGCCATTAAGATGACAAAATATCAGGATTAAGTCCATCAAGCTATAGGAGAGGATCCCTCGGCACACACCAATCAATATAGTCAAACAACAGCATCTACTGTGGAACCAGCTTGGCCGCTAACATTCAGGCATACAAGTGTGTTGTTACTAAGCAACGCCACGGCACAAATTTCATCCATCACACTGCCGGCAAAGTAGAATAAATGTGTGGGTGGGAATATTAGTCGCCCATCCTACATAGGATAAGAATGCAAGAACAGGCTCATGGCCAGTGGTTTTTGTCCAAAACTGAACAAGAGGCAAATCTCGCTTTTGGAACGACACTCCATGCACATACAAAAATCAGTAGGAAAAACATTGTAGATGTATTTACACATCATGTATTTTGGATCACTGAGGAGAATCACATGTTGAGTCTCCTGGACATTCTATTCCAGGCTGCCTAAGACCTAGACACAACAAGGGGTAGTCAAAGATCATGGCCATCACTTCCACCAGTGTAAATAAACAGCAGCAGAGTGGACCTGAGCATCTCACTTGGAAATTGATTGGAGGAACGTTATACGCTGTATAAGTAATGAGAAAAATTTTGCATCGTTCTCGCGTCACGTGCTAATCACGTTCCAATTTAGTCTCATTACTGTCACTAGTTCTTCAGCAGGAAGTAGAGAGGAAGTCAAGAGGGACAGGAGAGGAATGTGTTTGTATTTCATTTCAGATAGCATCACCTTCGTCTTTCCTTCAGACTGCTGTTGGGTAGGGCTCATGAGATAAAGCTACATGGCTCCAGTCATCTGTGGGTAACGTTAGCAATGTCCAACTACGGTAGCAAGAAAGCCCTGCTTTGACAGGGAGCCAACTACTGACTTTATACTTGGTTGACAGTAGTGACTTGATCCTTCAGTATCTGAAAACGGGATATGAGCAACCACAAACTAGCCTGTCGGGGCAGGGATTTGTTGTTTTTCCCCTCCATGACAGCATGTACTTCTTTGTAGCATTTTTCTCCGTCCAACAATCTAACAACAAAGTGCAGCTCTAGAGCAAACAAATGAACACAGTGTGAGAAGGCTGGGAGCTACCCCAGCTACTGTTGAAAAACAGACACCTCTTTTATGTGACTCTCGAAATCAACTTCAACTGTCACATTCTTCCCATTCCCAAAGGATTGCGACAAGCCTGCTTTCCTCCCTCGGCGGCTCATCCTCCTCTCCTGCGCGGGAAGGTTTCAAAATTCAAACCTGCGCCGCCCCTTGCAACGGAAACCGGTCATTCTTGTCAGCGGAACTCTTCCGACCAGAGGGGCAGTGAAAATTTGGTCATTTTGACTATGATCGTGATAATTTGTATCTGTAACAAATTTGATGTCCTGATTTTTGGAGCAGTTTGGTATGGAAAAATCTCATGTCTTAGCCAACTTTCTCATAAGACAAGCACACGATGAAAATAAAGCATAAAACACACATACTGTGTCTTGCGTAGCCATGGCAGACACCTTCAAGAAGAAGCATGAATTAATAAAAGGTTGAAGTGCAACAGGGATACCCTGAGCAAAGAGGCGGTTGGGTGTAAAGCAGCCCATTCTCATCTTGACCTTACAGCGTAAGGGACAAGTATTTTATGATGGAACCTACTTCAAATAACAAACTAATCAACATAATGAAAAACTACAACATTTAAAAAGGATCAATAATTGCAATGAAGCATGAGCTCAGCTGACATCACTGAATTCAATGCTTATCGTTCCAGGCCAATTAAATGCATGAGTGCACACGATCTCTTGTGCATTTTACCTCTTTCAGCAAGTCGAGCTCCTGCCTTACGCCCTCATATTCAATCTCTAGCTCGTCGTACTGCTGTTTGAGCTGCTGTTTCTCCTCCAGTACCACCAGCCCGTACTCAGCCGCCTGGATCTTCTCGTTGGTGGTTTCGCTCAGTTCCCGGGACAGGCGCTGGATCTCGGCCCGCATCCATTCCGGACCGGCCTGGAGCAAAAGCAAAGGGTCGGGGTAGCCCTGATCTTCCACGGACATTGTCGTGACGGATGACAACGGGTCAGCCGGCTGGTCTCAGACAAGAAGGATGCGGTGCGCGTTCAGGCGATGTAACCTTGAAGAACGATTGGTTGCTCAAATTCGTCTGTATTTGAATTGCATGGTTGCTGCGTTTGCGTCTTTCGATGCTGGTGTGGCGTCTCTGGTCATGTAGATGACTCCGTTCAAGACCCACTAAGCACAGACGGTGTAACCCCTTCGGAAATCTTCATCGCTTTGCCTTGTGGTTTTCCTCGCCCCTCCATTGACTTGTCCCAGCCCTACCGCAGGAGTGGGCGTGGACTCATTGTGACGGCAGGGGAACCGATAGACAAATTCTGTTTAATACTTTCAGCATAAAATACAAACAACCTTACAAATCACACCACACCGTAGTGATGCCCATATTTTATTTACTGTGTAATTAAACGATTTCTAAAAAGAAATAATATGTATTCAGTGAAAATTCGTCAGGCCTCACAAAATCTAAACAAATGGAGATTTTGTATTGAAAGCAAAGCAAATCAAGTTCCGGCACGTTCAAACGAATCGTTGCAACTCAATGAAACAGCTGAGCGCAGCCGGTTGGGGCAGCTGTTAAAACGTTTGCGATGCATTGTGGGAAAGGTAGTTTTGTCGTGAGCAAAATAAGGCTGGCGACACGGTGAAAAAACTCATTTCCCGCTATGCTTTACGTGTCTGCCGATGTGGAACCCGGAAATGTGTGTCAGCACCGGTTGTTGTTTAGCAACAGGCGCCATACGGCTCTTACTATTACAGGGTTGCTTGCTGCCATCTGTTGGAAATGACTTGAAACCGATAATGAAATATTGAAGACGAACTCAAGGCGTCGCCTTGGGTGGGTTGGTCCGTTGCTACGATATTAGTTAATTACTACGTAAATACAATATATACATATAAACAATCATTCGCTCCTAGTCATTGAAGTAAATCAACATGAACAACGATGATTTGTGACTGGGTGGTGTCGTTTTGCATTAATGTAAACATGTGTATGTGGTCATTGTGGTGTTTACAGTATACGCGATGTTGATGCGTGATTGCTTGTATTCATGTAGACAGTTGTCCTTTAAGTTGTTACAACTCACATTTCTCCCAAGGGAGGTGACTAAAGAGATATCTTGAGCAGACGTCAGTGCGTCCACCATGTTGAATGTGGCAAATCTGCTCATAAACGAGTGCAAATAAATGCACAGTGCATAAAGTTAATGCATATAATTCACCCAATCGGACACACACTGATATATTTGGGGAATTAATATATACCAAACACAATGTATGCCCCTTTTAATCTCATTATTGTACAATTTCACACAGAAGGTAGTCTATTTATGACCCTGTATCAAAGTCAAGGCCCGGGGGCCAGATCCGGCCCCCCACATAATTTTATGTGGCCCGCGGGAGCAAATCATGTGTGTCAACTATCATGATTCTTGCTGAAATCTGTACTGAAATGTCAAATTGTCATGGGTAATAAATAATGTTGAGATTTTGCACCGGCCCTCTGAGGGAAGCCGTAACTCCGAAGTGGCACGCAACAGAAAATGAGTTTGACACCCCTGACTTATGACATCGGTAAGCACCAAACCAAAGCTACCAATGTTTGTAACTCAGTTATACTTCACAATGAAACATCAAAATGCCTCCAATTAACCCCAAATCAAATTCTAATGAGCTTTTTCTGACATTTTCAGAGTGACATCTTTTAGCACAAGTCACGGTCTGTAGAGACCTTCCACCTCATCAGAGGGATGTTATTGTTTCCAGTTGTCACTCACGAGAAGGGTACAAAATAATTTTCAAGGCATTACATTTACCATGGAACACAGAGAAGACTATCATATAATCATGAATTCATGAAAAAGTGGAGCAACAGTGACATTACCAAGAGTTGCACGCCCCTCCAAAATTGATGAAGACAAGAAGAAAACTATTCAGGGAGGCTCCCAAGAAGTTGTGATATCTCCCATCTTCATTATCCATATACTGTATCTGGGGTAGTGACTTGGGTGACAAGAAGCTTTATCTTACAAAATGAGAGGAGAGGAAAAAAAAAACATTTGAAATATTACCGACACATGTGAGAAAATGTATGATGGTATAACGAGACCAAGGTTGAACTTTTTGACCATAATTCCAAAAGGTATGATTAGTTAATCTGGGGCTTTAGTCAAGGTCGAGGTAAGTATTAGTCCAAACTGTGTGTCAAGACATAAGACATAAAGCCCCCAATAATTGAGCTCCTAGCATCATTGTAACACACAAGCTCAAGTAAGAGTAATTAGTTTTAATTTAATTGAAAATCCTCAGGGTGTCACGGCGGTCGACTGGTTAGCGTGTCCTCCTCACAGTGCAGAGTTTGTGGGTTCAGGGTATAACCGGCGTGCTGTCCAATTTCAGCCCGGACAGGCTGCAGCATGCCCGCAATCCTCGTGAGGATAAAATCATTTAGATCATGGATGGATGGATAAAAATTCTTTGTTTTAATGTGAAGAAAATTAAGTATGACTAAAATCTTTTTGAAGTGGAACATGAAGTAGCTCGTGTAATAAGATGTTGAACAAAAACAATAATATTTTTAACTACAGTATCCTGGCTGAATAAAGTTTACAAACAAGGAATAATTTTGTTAGCCAATAACATTACAAATTCATACAGAGAAGGTAAGAATGTAATGTGCATATAAAGCAGCATACTAAGTGGCATAATAAAGAAAACAATGTTATTAAGCTGTTTATTTGATTTTATTGGCATAGTAATAGTCTCATTATTAATATTAGCTACCCAAAGTATGGTTCTGATCCCTGAAATCGAAGGGCCATCTGAATTTCTCCTGCTTGCCATTGATCAAGAAATACTTGAGGAAAGTCCGTTTTTTTCTTCTTTAACAAAGAGATGGTCTTGTGAAATAATTGAACTAGCCTCCTCCCTTTACCTCATTCGTCAAAAGTTGTTTTTTTAAATGTATTTGATGCTTTCTTATGTCACTTATTCAGAGCAGTTTTCATTTCGACGATTTCAGTTCTTATGTTTTTTATTTATTTTTGGTCTTTTCTTCATTTATTTGTCCAGTTTGATCATTTTAGGAAGCCTGTTTTATTAAATTTGTTTTTAATTAAATATACTGTACCACTTGAATATATTGTGGCGCTCACGAGGCAGCGTGGACAATAGTGCTTTGATTTTTTTGTAGGAAGAACAACCTACACAAAACATGCCTTTAAACACTATTGTATTTACATCCTTAGTGCCGCAAAGCATGCTATGAGGGCACCCAGTCTCCCAGCGGCGCTACAATATCATTTTTTGGTCTTGATTTTGTGAATTATTTGGCGATTATCTGTATGAAACATAAAACAAAGTGGAATTGTACTGTGTTATGCCTATTCAATGAAGAACATTTTTTTTTCCTCAAAGGCATGACGTCATCTTTAATCGACGTCTCTATGGGATGACGACGACGAGGACTGAACGTCTGATTTCTCCTAACGTTTTTCCCTCTTCGCTGCGGGCTCCTTTGTTTTTCCTCATCGATTCCTTGAAGGGATGTATGGATGGAGAGTCTAACATGCAAACAGATGAGCGAGGACCCACGATTGAAGACCGAGGAGGTTGCAAATCAAGAAATGGGATTTAGCCTTTATCTCCTGTCGCTAGTCTATGCCACATTCAATATGGCGGTGAGGTTGACGAACGATTCAGCGCGTACTGTGGCGAAGTGGGTAGCTAGGTAAATACAGTACTGTATAGGTAGGTAGGTAAATAATAGGTGGACATACAGGTAGGTAGATAGACAGACAAAAAGATAGATACATAGATGTATACACAGATAGATAGATCGTTGAGCTCCATCTCCTGGACCATTTCAAAAACGGTTTCTAATTCATTAGACCTTAGTACAAATATTTCACACTTTGTTCTTGGCTTTAATGCAGGTTACAGAAATATTAAAGATTTGCACCTTTAATGTGATATACTAATACATCATGTTAAAGGGTTCATTTCCTTTCATGGTTAAATGTAAAATCAACTGATTTACTTCATATGGAGTATGTAACTTCGGCCACTGCAGCAAATATGACTAATTAATTGTGGTCTAAATAGGCTTTGGGGGTTATCCCTAATGGTAGACGTCATAAACCAATCCCTTCACAAACCTAACCATCTTTTTTAAGACTGAAGGTAAACAATCAGATTTTATCTTTTGGGTATGTTACAAATGTACTGCTATTTGTAGAACATTAGCATATTGGTTGCAAAAGTTTCCCAAACCCTTCTGTGACAAACATAATCATAGACATAATCTGGTTAAATCAATTGGATGTTTTTATAAATTACTTATCTTTAGCAATTTCACAGGAATATATTAGCAGATGATTGCAGATGCAAACATTGCAACAGAAGGCAAAGTTGATACGATCATACTATGATTTTTGTTGAGTAGTGGGTGCTTTATTTTATACTGGTACAATAATAAGATTAGCAGTCTAATCCCAGAGGAGACAGGAATAGCCCAACACTATCCCACTCTAGACTAAGAATAAGAGGAAGAACCAGAGCAACCTGTGTCTTTACACAGCCCACATCTTTCCTACTTTTCCAAGCTGTTTTTGTTGTCCCTTATTCCTACACTGGACTTGACATCCTGATGAGGTGAAAAGGGACCACGATATCTGAGGGCACGCCCCTCCCTCCCCCGCACACAGAGATAATCTGAGGCGAATCAAATCAAGCGAGGCCAAAGGATTGACTTTCCACAGATCCAAAGAGAGTGGTAACGTCAGAGCTGGGGAGGTTGATGTCACATAGTTTGGCAGCTGTGGGGCAATTGAGCCCTGAGATGGTGTTCGCCTAAGAGTCACTTACAGGTAAATGTTTTTTTTCCCATTCTTATTTAATTGTTGATGGATTTATGTTTAACATATTTGTCTTGAACACTGAATTTATGCACACATAATAACAGATAAATATTTTGCCTGGATTTGATTTAGACAATGAGTGATCCTGTCATTTCATGGTGGGTCCAACTGGTAGATTTGTGTCTTCAGGCTCTGCTATGACTGTGGACATCAACCTAAGGGGAGATTCATATGGCACTCCATGAAAGGTCCCATGGGGGTGCTCTGATGGAATTCAGTAAGTGATTGTAATTGCTCCTGGTGCAGTATGTCTCCTACCTAAAGGCTAAATTGTAATTGTGTATTATAATGTGCCACTGGGCTATTTGTACTGATAACAGACGTGGAATGCCAACAAACAGAGGTTAGACACCACTGAATGAGCATTTGCTACTACTGAGTTTAATCATTCTGGTGTTTGAGATTAAACTCTTCAGCTCTATTTCTGGAATGTTGATGTCATCACTTCTACAGGACTTGTTCTATGTTACTTTGTACCTCTTTGTAGTTAGAGCACCCAGGGCAAATTACACTATATTCGGAGAGGCGATTCGCTATGTCATTCCGGCACACATGCAATGTTCTATCGGCTGTGGTGGTCAAGGCTGCAAGTACGACAACCCGCATTTCTGGCGTGATGACCAACAGGCGATTAAAGGCCTTTACTCATCATGGTACACATCCACCTTCAATCTCAATGTCCTGGAAAGTGGCTTTTTTCTAAGTATCATGGTATTTATTATTTTTTTAGGGTGACTGATCATCTACTTGCGATGTCCAGGCCCTCGACTGAAGTTATTGAGAAGTATAACGTTATTGAGCAATTCAGAAGGTATATGCGCCTTTCGTTACAAGTTCTCTCAACAGGTGGTATGAGCTCACACCACTTGTGTTCATTTCAAGGAATGGCATTAAAACGGTGATCAACCTCCAGATACCTGGTGAGCATGCAAGCTGTGGAAACCCTCTGGAGCCAGAGAGTGGTTTCTCCTACAATCCAGAGGCCTTTATGGAAAATAACAGTAAGTGCTTCGTTGATTTTGGTGAGTGTATAATGCTACTCAAGTCTCACTGCGTCTGATTTCAGTTTATTTCTACAACTTTGGGTGGAGTGACTATGGAGTGGCCAACCTGACTACTGTTCTGGACATTGTTAAAGTTATGGCCTTTGCACTGCAGGAGGGGAAGATAGCTGTGCACTGCCATGCAGGTCTTGGGAGAACAGGTAGAGCTGCACCTGGAATGTTGACACGACTGTTTGACCTTGCACCAATGGCGCAGTGTCGCAACATAGTTTCTCTCCCTTTTTCTTAGGTGTGTTAATGGCATGTTTTTTGGCCTATGCCACAAGGATGACAGCCAATCAAGCGATCTTGTATGTTCGGGCTAAACGGCCTGGTTCCATCCAGACGCGCAGTCAGCTGAGCTGTGTCCGCGAATTTGTCCAGTTCCTTGCCCCTCTAAGGAGTGTGTTTTCCTGCACTGAGCCTCGATCCCAACCCGTCACCTTGACTCAGTACCTCAATCGTCAGAGACACATTCTGCATGGCCCCGAGCGGAAAGAATTGAGGTACCTGCCAAAGATTGTTCACCTTGTGTCCCGGCTGCTGTTGGATATTGCGGAGAATCGACAAGTGATCGAGGAGGACGTTTTGGAGGCGCCGGACATCCATGACATTGAGATGACTCTCAGCATCATTGAAAAGCTTGGGCCTCAGTTTTGCGCAAGGGAGCCTCGCTTGCCAGGTTCCCCGACCTTACCGAGACATTTTCATGAGCCGCCCATCTTCTACCATCGCAAGAGTCTTAGTTACAGTGAGTCTGATCTAAGACGTCTGGGATCGCAGCTCAATCTCCTGACACAACCCTTGGGCTCCCTCTCACAGGGCAACGTGGCCAGGCCAATTTCCCCATCCGAAACTGCTCAACCGGTAACGCAGTGGAAGAGTTGGAATAGTAACACATCTGACATCTCCCAAAGCTCCACAGGATCTCTCTGGCAAGTCAAGAATCATGAAAGGGACGGTTCCATTTTGTTGAAGAAAGTCAGGCAGATGCCCATCCAACGCAGTGGATCTGTTGGACACAATGGCCCACTCCAAAAAGGTAGTATGCTCTCCAGATTGAAGGCTGAGCAGAGAGAAGAGTTGGCAGAAAGCGAGAGGAAGTCTCAGCAGAGAGATGAGGAGCAGTCAGAGGTGCCATGCATCACTCTGCAGTCTGAGTTATCTCTGGAGGCGAGGAGGCTGTTGGTGGCACAGGCGCTAGCAGTGGACCTTTTTCTCGATGGGGCAGAAGATCACAGGAACAAAGTGTTAACGTGGCAGGTAATTGATCCGGGCCAATCCAGTGAGATGATACAGGACAGCCCCAAATAATCATTTCGCAAGCTGATAATTTGGGCAAATGTTACTGAAATAACCAACATTTTTCACAGGATGCAGACACACACGGTAAAAAAGACAAGTTGTATTTTGGAGGTGGGGGGGGGGGCTAAAACAGTGAGCAAGTTGTTTGGTCCAAAACAATTTGCTGAGTTGCTTTTAATTAGATCTTAGTTGTTTATACTAATATATTTAAGTTGGGGATCAATACAAGAGACAGTGGTTCTGTCAACTCTTATTTATTGTGAAATGCTCGAAAGCCACGTTTCACAACAGCAACTCAAACTAAATCGCTCAAACGCACAGCTGAAAATTCTATCGGTTTGTTGCCTTAAATCTTCGAGTTCACCCACTTTTTTTTTTTTTTTTTACAGGGTAGAAACAGATTAAGAATTTATATTTATGTCCTCCATCTTCTTACTCGCATTGACAAACTCAGGCAGAGAATCACTTAGGACAGGGGTCCCCAACCGCTGGTCCGCGGACCGGTACCGGTCCGCCGGGCATTTGGTACCGGGCCGCACAGAAAGAACTTGCCTTAATTCCGTTTTATTGATTTCGGAAAACGAAAGATGTTTTATTTTGAAAAACTAACGGATTCTCCATTACATTCGTCTGTGTCACGCTTGACACACATCAAGCCACGCTTCTCCATCACGTGACCGATTACTTCAAAACAAAACGCAGGAACTTGCAAAATGAGGAAAAAAAACTGCTGGAGATCGCAAATCACGGCGGCTTTAAAAGTATGTTCGAGACAACTGGATTAAAGTTATGGCTGAATACTCTGGGATCGCCACAATAGCACTGTTGCTATTTCCGACATCCTACCTGTGTGAGGCGGGGGTTCTGCAGCAACGGCGACGAAAACAAAATTACGAAGTAGACTTGACATAAACCAGGGGCCCCCAACCTTTTTTGCCCCACGGACCGGTTTATGTCAGACAATATTTTCAGGGACCGGCATTTAAAGTGTGGTGGAAATAATACAACGAAATAATATGATATGAGCTGCATGAAAACTGTGGCGTTTTCGAAATATAATAAACACAAGGAGCGTCTAATCTGGCCGCAACACTCCGATCGCTATGGCAATGTTTAATGCCTTCAAAATACGATACAACGCAAATTCCAAGTGCATGAAAATGACGACTCACCACAGCACCGAGCTTGGTTTTCTGCAACCAGACGGTCCCAAGATAATTGCTTTTGAAATGCTATCAATTTTTTTTTTTGGGGGGGGTGGGGGGTCACCCTGTATTTACATACAACAATGGCATGCTTGTTTCACATCCCTTAATCACTCTCCGGTGACATGTCAGTCATGCCAGGTGTCTGTCAGGGATCACATTGCTAATTCAATGTTTTCCATCAGGTAAATGTGTTTGATACATACTCAAAATCAATATTAATAACTCCTGACAGACCTAAGATTAGTTGACAAGTGCGAGTGCTGAATGTGTGCTTGCAGGCGGAGCTGAATCAAGGTGGCGCATGGGAAAGGCTCTGCATGGAGCGGGATCCCTTCATCCTCACAGGTCTGATGTGGGCATGGCTGGAGCAGCTTAAGGAGCCAGTCATCTGTCTCCAAGATGCCATGGCCTTGAACCTTGAAAACACTGATGCGCAAACTGTCCTCAGCACACTTGGCCAGGTAAAACCTTACTGTTCAACCACAATTGGGAAAAAAAAAATCTCCACATATGTAGTAGTCACGTGGCTGTTATCTTCATATTTGCTCAATGTCTCCATAGGCACCCAAAGAAACATTAATGTGCATATTGGACTGTCTGGCTCAGTTACTGACACTACCTGAGGAGGTTGAACATGCATTTCTGAATCGTACTATCAAGGCTTTCACTTGGGTAAGCGTGATGACTCCATTGCACAATTGCAGTCCAAATTTTTTTGTCATTGTCATATGATGTTCACCTTTCAACAGATGGGAAGCAGTTCCAACGATGGAAGCCAAGTGTATGAGTCCATGACTAGAGTCCTTCGCTGTGTCCTTGAGGACATGAGATGTGTCGCCACCAAAGCAGAAGAGCCTACAAAGACTCCTTTAACGTGTGCGTAGATGCTACATATGGAAACATGGAGGGGACACTTTGTGCCTTAATGTTGAAAATATTTATTCTGTCATTATGATGTGACGATGTGAGATGAATACAACTCATGACATGTACTGCCCTAGCATTTCTTCACCCCCACATTGAGGCAACGCAATGAAGAACAGTTTTTTTTAATGCAATGTTTTGCCTTAAGACTGGTCACGTTCAGCTCCAGAATTAGCCAATCAATTTACGAACACAGGTTTGTTATCATGCACATTAGTCTCTCTCAATGCCTTTAGAGTAACAATGTTATCCCTTTGTAAAAAAAAAAAAAAAAACCCGAAATACTTCATAATAAAATCATGCGTCAATGACAGTGAACAAGGAGCAAATGTTCCTCTTTCGGGGGCTGTGCAAAACTCACGTCGCCACTGTTTTGGAGGTTCAGGAAGTGAATGTGTAAGCTTTTAAAACGTCATTGCCATCCTTCCCTTCAACTGAACCAACAATGCTGGCGTAGTCACAAGCGACGAGGCTGAACCCTCTAAAAGCACAGGAAACAGAGACATTCGGTCCTATCCACATTCTGGCTCTTTTTTAATGCTGCACAGATATCTAAATGTCAGAACAAACCTTGACATAGTGTGAGAACCTCCCAGTAAGTGGTATCGACTCTCCAAGGTCAACCCACCATCTCTGTCACGTTTCCAGGTCAGCACGCGCAAAGAAAGGTCCTGAGATGCTGTTACCACACGGAAGCTGTCCTGTGAAATGTCACAGTCATGAGTGGCAATTATAATACAGTAAATCCCTCAAAATATCTCACAATATTGCTACCTTACATTATTATTTCAGTCAGTCCTCATGTCCTCCAGTTTGAAGTTAGTTCGATATTAGATATTCAGTTTGATATTGGATATTCATTAAAAGTAATTAAAAATCGTGCAGTTGTGCAAATAAAAACTTTTAAAGGGGGAGTCAATTCAAAAAAAATCTTTACAATAATACACTACTTCCAAAAAGTTAGGGATATTTGGCTTTCAGGTGACATTTATGGGAAATGTAATTAAGTTCACGTTACAGTGCTATTGTATCATGGATGTAGGACATTTCAGTACAAGGATGCACTGGTGATTTCCTCATCTAAAACAATTCATTGATACAAAAGTTCACAACAATGGTGCGTACACATCAACAAAAAATGTCAACGTCTCAATTACTCGTCCTGTGCCATTGAGCATTAATTACAGTTTGACAATGACATCTCCCGCTGTTCACGCGTTGTCTTATTGTCTACTGATGCACAGCATCCCACTCTTCTTGAAGGTCAGCCCTCAGGTCATTGAGGTTCTGATGTGCAGAGATTCGAGCCTCGACATGACAACTCAGTTGGTATAAGCTTGTCACTGTACCCTTCACAAAGTGTAAGGCGGCTCATTAGAGTACAGCAACTTGTGCAAAAAGTATCCTGAAACAGTTGGACATGTGCATTCAAAAGCTTCGAGAAGGTCAAATTAAGTTCACCTGTAAAGGTTTGACTGCATTTTAGCCTCGTCCTGAATTTTCACCTGAAAATCAAATATCCCCAATTTTTTGTGAGTAGTGTGTGTTCTATGCGCCCCCACTAGTCCAAACAAGACATTCTGTTAAATTTGTGGACACGTTTGTTTCCATCGCAGGGAGGGCCACTTTGCGACTTGCTGTCAACTGAAAACGACATCACAGTGCCAGGCGGGCTCAGCTTGCGAACGTCTCATGCCCAAACCTAGCAAACAGGTGAGCCATGATTGGTCGTTAGCAAGTCGCAAATTGGCCGCCTCCTGATATGGACAAAAATGGTTGGATTTTGCTACTTCATTCATACTCCACAAACGCAATATTAATCAGAGTGCCATGTTCAGAATGGTGGGGGCGCATAGAACATAATGTAAAAAAAAAAAAGTTTGACTTGACATCTCCCTTTAATAAGTAGGCTTAAAAAATTCTTACCACACATAAAGAAGTAATTGGCATTGTGTGCTCTTTGAAGCTTGCGAGCAAGGCGCCTTTTAGAGAATACAAGAAGAGATGACAATCAACTGCCATCACAATGGAGTTGCTGTCCTTTGCCTCAAGAAGAATGTTGGAGGACGTGCTCGGCAGCGACAAAGGAGAGGACTCAACCTGTTGGACTAAAATGCAAGCATTTTTTAGAGCTGGACAAACTTGTGTTTTTATTCATAAGTTGAAGTATTTTATTAAATTGCTGTGCCATATAATTTGTGTAGGGGCGCGCTGCATCACTGTAATTGACGGTAGGACATTTGTTTTCTGCTGTTTTCGTCAAGTTTTCTGATTGAGACGATTAAACGCAGCCGACACAAGAAATCCTGCTGTGCGTCGTCGACAGTCTTAAACACAACGCGGTCGAATACCACCGGTTACGCGAGTATTATTCTTATCTCAAGTCATTTTAGGGAATAACTGCTCAGGATGCTCCTTGTCTTTATGTATGACACACAAATGTGACCTCTAAGGCAGGTATGCTACTCGTTTTACAGTTTCTCCTTTTTCACCTTGGATCTGGGACGTGTACTTTGACTTTTTCATGCTGACATCGAAGACAGTGAGTGCTTTGTTGTTAGTGTGCTCATTCCAGTGGACCATGGCCAGTCTGGCAGACTGCGTGGGGATGAAGACGGCGGCCTGGCACCCAGTGACCGGCACTAACTGGCACAGTGGGTCTTCGTCCTCACACGGGGAGGTCAAACTATCAGCATAAATCACCTGCCGATGACCAAGACATAAAAAAAAAGCAGTATTCATATGTATATTTCTTAATAGCAATTGGTCAAACACCATTGAGTTGCTGTCCAGCAAAACAAAGACATACCTTTAGACTTGAATCAACGTTGTCCTTTGAGCCAGCTGTGATCCATTTCTTGTCAGGTGAAACCAAGAGTATGTTGACTTTAAAGCTGTCGCACACCATTATACTGGATTTTTTAGTCAAAGCTGTTCCAGCTAGTGTACACACTGACCCAGGACTCGTTCCAACCTTGAGAAAAATATGAGCAGGGACAAAACTCCCACTGTGTAAATTACAATCACAGTGGTCATTCTAAACATGCAAAAAAAAAAAAAAAAAAGGAGGATACTTACAGATAGAAACCAATCATTGTCCTTATTATACTGTAGCAATGTACAGTGTGCAGACGCAACTGAATAGGACGCCACCTCCTGGCCAGTCTGACCTTGCCAGACCTTGATCAGGCCGGCAGAGTCTACCGTGATGACAAAGTCAAGCTCCTCGTCAATTATGATGCGAGATAAAGGATTCTGCTTGGCAGTGCACCACACGAGTTGACCCTGAGATGAAATGAACTCATATTAGTGAACCTTTCAGGCTCAGGAAGTCTGTTAGGGGGTTGATGGCACATTGCTTTGTTCGTAAGATAGCAAACTTCAGTTTCAAGATTTTCATTTGCAAAACTTGGATGATATTTGTCTGCACAGCTATACGCACTTGGTGAGATTTTGCATCAATTTCTTTGCGCCACTTAGAAGTGTTTGTTACATGCAGATAATTAGTTAGTGACACTCGGCAAAAATTTCTGACTTGCAAATTCAGGCCGTGAAGCTGTTGGAGGAGCAGAACTCCATCATGAACTGACAACAACCTACATTATGCACCCAACCACCCTGCTTACTACATACTTTGTCGATAAGAACTCGGTCTGGGGACCAGTGTATCACATGTTTAAGACCAATTGCAAACCACACACACACACACACAAAAAAAAAAAAAAGGAAACGGGGACTCATGAGGAGCCCTTGAGTTAGAGAAAGCCTCCTGAAACAACACTGCAGGACATTCCACTCACTCGGACATCCTTGAGATCTAATATACATTTTTAATTGTTGTTCAAAGAGAATACAGTAAAATGATGTATCCTTAATTCTGCCGAGGGGTATATAAAAACTCTCTGTAACGATTACGTAGTCAAATGTATGTGTTGAAATTCTGGAGATTGTCCACTAACATTCTGGATGTTCCATGCCCGGACTGTACCATCAGTCGAAGCACTGCAGACTGTGGTTGGGGTGTCGCAGAGGTCAGGACCCAGAGGTGAGCTCCCCTGCAGGTAGACCAGGCCCACTATTTGCCCTAATGGAATACTTTTTTTCAGTGTCTGCACTTCCACTTGAGTCCAGAGTATGAGTACTTTTGACGCATCTGATTTAAACTGGCTTTAAATTTTTCACAGACCTGTGTGGCCTCGGAGGCTCTTGCAAGTGTAACCCCCAGTTCGACCTTCCTTCATCTTTGTCTCCAAATGGGATCGTCGCAGGAAGTATTTCTTCCAAGAGTTATTGACGTGAGGGCTCCCCAACACAGCCTGGCTACAAAAGCCCCATCGCTGCAAGCACATCCTCCTGATGAGAAGAAAACAAACGACCATTTGACATTTCTGTGGTGACAAGAAAAGTATTTCCACGCAAAACACTCACCTCCATAACCACGGAGTCTCGGCAGCATTGTGCCAGTTCTGGAAAACAGACAACCTATTCTGAGTGTTGTTTCGCTTGTTAAAGTTACTTCCGCATGTTGTATATTCGCATGCCCTTACCATACACACGCTCGAGGCCCTGATTAAATCTTCCTCGGTCAAAAATGTAAACACATGAATGAGACAATCGCCGAGCAAGTGCTGGGGATCCATAGTGACGTTCTTTCTCGTCCTGCGATTGTGAAGCAAAAGCAGGAAGAAATAAGTGAGATCACGCGCAGCCGGCATGATTGTCATTCTGCCACTAGATGTCGCCATCTTAAAGGGAAATCAACCCCCAAGAACGCCTCAGTATCCATGACATGACAGGACATGACAAATAAGTATGGAAAGACTTTCCGTAATGTAAGGGTACAGTACCATCGTGCAGTAGTACCACCCAATGACAGCTGTGAGACAATGTGCAAAGTGGTCGGTGGTGGAATACAATTCTATGACGGTTGTGCAGTTGGTGCAGATAATCGCTGCACCATTTTTAAAGTGACCAGTAGCAGTATTTTGAATTGAATTGAATTGAATACAACTTTATTGTCAAATGTGCTGTGCATATGTGTAACATACAGCACAGATGAAATTTCTTCCCTCTCAACATAAAACAACATTTGTAGAACAACTTAAATTGTGCAGTCGTACAGAAAGTCCTTGAGCACTTTAAAGTGTCTGGTGCTGTGGAATGTAATTCAATGACAATTGTGTTGTGTTTATTATTTTACTTTATGTTAACTGTTTTGTTAAGCGCTTTGTTAAACTGCAGCTGTTGTGAAAATGCTATATACATCACAGCATGTATTGTATTGTACTATTGTTCAAGTATGTAAAGAGCTGGAGGTCCAACGATCATTGCGGTAATACTGTTCCACATGGATGTGCAAAAATACAAAGAGCCACTATATATTTGGGTTACTGTTTAGGGAATTAATGGTGAGAGGGAAGAAACTGTTTGAATGTCTTATGGTTTTGGTGAAGATGGATTGGTAGCGCTTGCCTGGGAGTAGCTGAAAAAGGTGGTGGGAAGGGTGAGTGTGGGGATGACGGGGGTCCAGTAGGATTATCTGTGCCTTTGTCTTGGTTCTTGCGGTGTGCAAGTCCTCAAGAGTGGGTAGGGCAGTGCCAATGATTTATTCTGCAGTCATTACTGTCTGTTGCAGTCGGATTTTGTCCTTTTTTGTGGCAGCCCCAAACCAAATTGTGATGGAGGAACACAAGACTGATTTGATGACTGCTGTGTAGAACTGTCTTATCAGCTGCTATGGCAGGCCGCGCTTTCTCAGCAGCCTCAGGAAGTACATCCTCTGCTGGGCCTTTTTCAGGTTGGAGTTGGTGTTGACCTCCCATTTCATGTCCTGGGAGACTGTGATTCCCAGGAACTTGAAGGTCTCTATGGTTGACACGGGGCAGTTGGATAGTTTGAGGGGCAGCTGTGGTGAAGGATCTTTCCTGAAGTCCACGATCATCTGTACCGTCTTGAGCGTGTTCGGCTCCAGGTAGTTTTGGCTACACCAGTGCGCCACTTGCTCCACTTCTTGTCGGTACGCAGATTCGTCACCGTCTTTGATGAGACCGGTGACTGCGGTGTCGTCTGCGAACTTGATGAGTTTGATGGCTGGATGTGTTGAGGTGTAGGCGTTTGTGTTGAGGGACAAGAGCAGCGAAGAGAGGATGCATCCTTGGGGGGGCCCCCAATGCTGATGGTGCGTGTTGATGATGTTGTCCTTCCCAGCCTCACCTGTTGTGTCCTTCCCGTCAGGTAGCTGAGGAGCCACTGGCAGATCGTAGGGGACACACTGAGCTGATGAAGTTTGGAGGCGAGGAGTTCCGGGATGATATATTGAACGCAGCATTGAAGTCCACAAACAGGATCCTTGAGTAGGGTTGGGTTGGGGTTAGGTTAGAGTCAAGGTTTATGGTTCGGGTTGGGGTTAGGGTAAGTTTTAGGGTATGGGTTGGGTTAGAGTTAGGTTTCGCGTTAGTGTTTTTCCACCACTAGTGGTAGATGCAGGCTACCTGTCGTGGGAACTGAAAGCCGAATTAAATATTTCAACTGTGCATATTGTTACTCTGGGTTAATAATTTTTTAAAATCCAGTGCAATATATTTGTTATGGACTGTTCAGTGATTAAGTACACCGCATTTGCATTCAATCTTAGAACTGTTTGTTTTTATTTTGGTAGAATTGCTATTTAACATTTACATGTACTACATTTTCATTTTTTCATCCATCCATCCATTTTTCAACACCGCTTATCCTGAAGAGCAGCCGGTTGCTGGAGTCAATCCCAGCTGACTTCGGGTGGAAGGTAGACGACACCCTGAACTGGTCGGCAGTCAGTCACAGGGCACATACAGAGACAAACGACCATTCATGCTCACATCCACACCGTCACTGAGTGGGAACTGATCCCACGCTGCCCGCATACAAGCCAGGCGAATGTACCACTACTACATGACTAACATTTTCATTGCATCTTGAATATCTAATTTCAGTTTTTATTTTCCTAGATTAAAGTGCAGTGTTAGTGTTCAAACTGTACATAATGTTAGAGTGGCCCACAATTATATGAAATATACTTTTAAGGAATGAACACTTGAGCCGACTAAGCTACTGTAGGCTGTATTAAATGTTGGTCATGATCAGGGGTGGGCAACCCCAGTCCTCGAGGGCCCCTATCCATCACGCCTTACATGTCTCCCTTCTGCAATACACCTGATTCAAATGATCAAAATGATCATCATCAATGATCACCTGCAAGTCCTGAGAAGCCTGATAATGATTCTGATCATTTGAATCAAGTGTGTTGGAGAAGGACGACATCTCCAACAGGCTGGATTGGGGCCCTTGAGGACCAGAGCTAGACACTCCTTGTCATTTTCATTTTTTTAATTATTGTGATTATTATTATTGATTAATTGGAACCACTGCTAGGGTGTTTAAATTCTTTACAATTTTAAACAACTTTCACATTTCAGACGCGTTGTTATCAGGCCCTGGAACATGAATGCGACACCTGAACGTCCTGTTTTTGAGAGAGAGAGAGAGAGAGAGAGAGAGAGAGAGAGAGAGAGAGAGAGAGAGAGAGAGAGAGAGAGAGAGAGAGGATTCTTCCGTGGGGCCCCTCGCAAGTCTCCCGCAGCCACGCCCACTGAGATGAGCGCGATATAAAGTCGAGACGTGCTGTTCGCCTAAGAACTGTGAGAAATAAGCCATCGCACTTGTTGAGGCTTACCTGTGCTGACATCATCATCGCAATGACAACGGGACCCGGCGACAAGGGGGCCACCTAAAAGGATCTTGGCTCGACTTGGCAATATAAGTTTTTTTTTTCAATGTTTCCCCGGCTTGTGGACCTGCCTGTGGAGTTACCTGTGCTGTGATCGATCGGAGACTAACCGAATCGAGTTCCTCCTCAGCTTCAGCAGTCATTGCATGACCGTGAGGCCGCGATGAGTCGGAGAACTCGGCGCTGGATTTTAAGAGTTTTACTTTGTCTGGGAATAGTCTACCTGAAAATTGGGTGAGCTGCGCCACGCCGTTGTGGGTTAATACCAGAGTGTTATTACGCTCTCTAAAGCACACGACTTTGTGTCATTGGTTTGCAATTAACCACAATCAAGACACGTAATGACATTGCTGTCATCTGTTAAAGTCGTTAAACAGCGTCCTAAAGTCGTAGTATTTGAAAGTTGAAGTGTCGTCCAATGTTTGCGCTTGGTGAAACGTGGGTATAGTTACGTGTTATTTATGGAACTTTTGGGAAGTGAAATTGCACCTGCCGCTTAAGGTAAAATCTTTTTGTTCCCCTCCCCAGGGGCTTCTCATCGGTGGTGGCCCTCGGAGCGAGCATAATCTGTAACAAAATCCCCGGTTTGGCCCCGAGGCAGCGGATTATCTGCCAGAGTCGCCCCGATGCCATTATCGTCATCGGAGAGGGCGCGCAAATGGGCATCAACGAGTGTCAGTTCCAGTTCAAAAACGGGCGCTGGAACTGCTCGGCCCTGGGCGAGAGGACCGTCTTCGGAAAAGAGTTGAAAGTGGGTATGTTGCTATCTGTTCATGTTTGTTCATAATTAGAATATTGAGTCACTTGCATTGGTGCACAATTGTGCGCCCCTTGCGTAAAGGTGTCCCCCCCCCCCCACCATGTTTGTGATTGCATGCGCATTTCAGTACCGACTTGAGCTGTACAAACACACTCTGCTTCTAACATCGTTCAATGAAAGTGAACATTGTATAACCGGTTGAAGCAAACGCCCCTGAAATGCAAGGTGCACTTGATTTCTGCATCCAAATTTGGAAAACTTCATATGAATCTATTTGTAAACATACTGCAAATATAACTATTATTATTATTTATTTTTTGAGGGGGTAGGGGCATTCTTTTAGGTGTGAAAATCGCATGGAAGTGCAATTTATATTTTAGAACACAAATGTGCTTGCTTAGATGGGAAGTAAATATTTTTTTGCAGCAAGTGTCAGCTGCTCTCCAGACTTTTTTTTTTTCGCGGAGCATGTATAAAAGGTATCTGGAGCCAAGACTGTAACATAGCTCTTGTGAATAGTCACAGCCTTTCTTTTCATACCAGGCCGAGTCTCATGAGACACAGTTTCAGTGGACTTTCTCCCATCTGCTGATGGGTGCTGCAGCTCCCACTGTAAGGACGTGGACGTTACCACGGGTATAAGTTACAATGACCAAAGTACCATAGTAGAGAAACTCGCCAGCTCCAATGGAGACGGATGTGTCCGACAGAGATTGGGTAATTGGTGTTGTCTGTTTTTGAGTATGGTGGTCCGTGTTTCTAGCCCATTTTGGGGAGAGATCAAGCAGCCCTAAATTGAATGACTGCCCCCACACACTAAAATTATAGAATTTTCTGCAGCACGGCGGATGATCTGTCAAGGGACATGTTAGTGTGCCACGGCATCCTGGTTGGGAATCACTGCTATAGACAAGTGATTCTCCAACTATACATCCATCCATTCCCTAATCTACTTATCCTCACAAGAGTTGCGGGCATGCTGGAGCCTATCTCAGCTGTCTTCGGGCAATAGTCGGGGCATACCCTTTACTGGTCGCCAGTCAAACGTAGGGCACACATAGACGAAGAGCCATCCACGCTCACAATCACACCTAGGGACAATTTAGAGTGTTCCATTAACCTGCCATGCATGTTTTTGGAATGTGGAAGGAAACTGGAGTACCGGGAGAAAACCCACGCCGGCATGGAGAATACATGCAAACTCCACACAGGGAGGCTGTAGCCTGCACTGGGAGGCCGATGTGCTAACCAGTCGCCCACCGTGCCACCATTCTCTAACGAATATTTCTTTACTTTATTTGAATGTGCCCTTTTTAAACAAGTTAGAGAAGCGCATTAACAAAAGCACTCTGGTGAAATAAAAAAAATAAATAAATAAAATTAAAGCAATGCCTCCTTGCCTCAAAAATGGTTTGTTCCACTTGATCGCTTTTTGCACAGGTGCCTTCAAATAATATCCTGAAAGTACAGTTGTGGTGTATGTAGTAAATGCCTGTCTTAAACCTGCCTAATGTGGAACATTTCGTACCTTTTACCACTCAGTACCTTGACAACGCTCTATTATAACAGTTATCAATGTTGCTGCATTTAATTTCAGTTCACAGTTTATGTTGTTCGGTAGAAGTTAGCTGACATTTTTGTTTCCAGCCAGGAAAAGTTTCGAATGGTGAGAGACGGCAGCACTCTCCTCAGCTTGAATTGGAATGGGAAGCTGTTGTAAATATCCTGTAAAACAATCGAGACAAGGTGCTACTGTCGAGCTAACTGGTTGGATGCCCATGACCGAAAAGTCTTACACTTCTCTTTCATAAATCTGGCAATGAAATTGCGTTGAAATATACAAATGGTTAAATTGATCTCAGCTTCCTGGGAGATCCTTTCCCCTAAAAGTCTTACCCTAGAATCGCCCCTGGTGTGGACTATATTAGACAGCAAACCCAAGAACACTTAGTGACTAATTTATTCTCGATTTGTAGCTCGAGATACCTTCGGTTACTGGTGTCATGAGAAATTTGAACATAGAAAATATTGAATGGGGAAATTAACAGTGCTATAGAAATAAAAGGCTTCGTATCTTGCACCAGCTGCGTGACGCCATCTTGCCCACTGCCAGTGGAAAGAAAAGCTAATCCCAGTCATGCTGTCAGTCGCGTTTGACAAGCTGTCCTTTTATGAATGAGTAGTTTTGGCCCATCAGGAGTGTCGGTGTTGGCGTGAAAGCCGGCAGCACATCCACGGCTTGGACAGGCATAGCAAATAGATTGGTTTCACCGATCGGATTAGCCCAGAAGCCAAGTGGTTGCAAATGGATGCCATTGTTGGCGCAAAGCCGAGTGGGGCTGTGTGGCTTGCAATTGTTCTCTGAAGGAGTGTGGGTAGTGCAAGGTGCATCGCTTTGCTACGATTGGCCCCTAAGGCTGAAGAATAAGCTTTTGAGGAGAGGCCCGACTAGAAAGAAAAGGGACATTTTCACGACTGAATTTCAGTTCTCCCTTCTAAATATCTTCCATCACTCAGTACAATCTTATGAAGTGCTCCTACTGTTTCTTTTGGAGGAGTCAGGCGCAGGAATCGCAGAGAAAAATGAACAGCACTGCACTCAGATGTGACTGAGTGCACCGACACACCTTGTTTTTTGGCCCGGAGCCCATTTAGTCTGTAAAAATGTCAACATAATTTATGCCTCGATATGAGGGTTTTTTTTTTCTTTCTATCTTTCTTTCAAGGATAGAAAGGTGGCACACGGCCAGGACATGCTTGCTGTATGTGGCGCTTCTGGTGAGCTCGGTGGCAGGAGGACACAAAGAAAGTGAGGATGTGAACAAACAGCCCAAAAAGGAGCTTGTTTATACAAATATTGATGGACGTAATCTGCTGCCTCCGGTTAGCATTTTAGACATTCAAACTGGCATTTTTAATTTCCCGTTGAAGCATTTTTAAAATAAGGCTCCTTCCCCTTGTCATATTTCACCCCAAAACTATTCGTCACACTCTGTCAGATTAACCTTTAGTTTATTGTCAATATTGCCGCATGTGTAAATGATTTGTTCAGCAGACCTGGCGTAGATAAGGCCAGGATGGAGATGCTCATGTCTGATGAGTTTACACAGAATGTGTCATTTCTGAATGGATCAATAGCTGTTCCCTTCCTGACAGCCCTCTTATTCATGCTGCTTTGTTGACTAAACTGCCAGCAGCCATCTTGGTTCACAGGCAGGACAGTTTCCAGGTCAGATTTCAAAACACTGGCGCCCTTCAGTGATATGTCATTGAGACCATGATGTCAACTCACATACTGTTAATTGGTAATCTCGTATCATTCATTTAAAACCAACAACATTTGACACTGAGTAGAAACTGTCATAATGTTATCATAATTAGAATAGCAGCTGCTTCATCGTCATCTGCCTTTGTGGTCCATGATATCGGTGGTGCAAACATTGACGGGCGCGACAATGTTGATGTCAAGATATGATTTCATGACATTTTATGTTGCTGTTGTTCTGATCATCTGAACTGAATTCATCGTAAATCCCCAAATACAACACAACACAAACAAACACAAATAAACTCAAGAAACTCTAGTTGAGTTGAGCATGTATATTTTTTTATTTGAATTTTATCCCTTCCATTTTTTTCAGCTCAAAGTTGAAAAAAGAAAAAAAAATACAAATGTGTTATCTGCTCCCCCACGAGTTGAAACACGACATTCCGATTACAAGTGCGTTTGTAGTGGCGGCCATTTTGCCCCGTACTGACACTTGCTGTGGACTTAAAATGACGTCAGAGTGCCTCAGGGTTCAGTTAATGACCAATGACGACTCACCTGTTTTTCTGCGTTTTGGTCATGTGACATTTGCAAGCTTAGTACTTATACACATTGTGATGTCATTTTCAGTCAATAGCAAGCGGGAAAATGGCCGCCCGCTTACATGGATAAAAATGGATGGCTTTTGCTGCTTAACTCCACAAAAATAGTACTAACCAGAATGCCTCGTTTAGATTAGTCGGGCCACAGAGTACATACCTAAGATATTTTTCACTTGACTTCCCTTTTAAAAGACTTTGTCCAAAACTCCACTTATTAATGAATGTAACACGAACATGAATTGCACTGACTTGTGTCGTCTGTGCAGGGTGTCTTTACAAATCAAACCAAGTCACAAGGTGTCTTTTTCTCAAGCTGTTTAGCAAGTAAATACAACATATACACAATATGTTGGAGTTACTCCAGATTCGACAGTCAATTACATTTCAGAGCTTGAAGGGGTGCGCGTGAAGCAAAATCAAAACAAAAACCACATTCCTTACTCTGATGTATTTTCTTCTGCGCTTTTGCAGGGAGCAAAGAAGCAGCCTTTACGTACGCCATTATCGCGGCCGGGGTGGCCCACGCCATCACCGCCGCCTGTACGCAGGGTAACCTGAGCGACTGCAGCTGTGACAAAGAGAAGCAGGGTTTCTATAGCAGGGACCAAGGATGGAAGTGGGGAGGCTGCTCTGCGGACATCAGCTACGGCCTCGGCTTTTCCAAAGTGTTTATTGATGCCCGAGAGGTCAAGCAGAACGCCAGGACGCTCATGAACCTCCATAATAATGAGGTGGGACGCAAGGTAAGCTGCAGCCGTCTCCAAAATCATTACTATTTTTTTTTTGGGGTGGCCTTGATAATCGCAGTGACCTGGAAACCTCTGCCAAGTAGTGGCGGAAGCGAGCGTTGCCAAGGTTCTGCCCAGCTTGAACAAACAGTGGAATGAAGATGGCTTTCAGAGAAAAAAAAAAACTGTCAAAAGTGATTGATGAGATGATTGCACAGAAAAGACATGGGCACCGTCCAAAAAGACATTATCCCCGTCCCTCGGGTGCTTCACCAGTCGGGCCTGACACAATTACTTTCGTTTCTAATGTCCCTCGAACGTGATAAATCAGTAGCTTTGTGCTTGTTTGTGCACTCCAGGACTGCAGTGATGAGTGCAATTCAATGGCCTCTTTCAATTCACTTTCAATTATTGGGTGTAATTTGATTCAGTGCCACTGGTTCATTCTTATCCGGGGACATGACTAAAATAATGATACACTTCCATTTTCTGCGAGAAAGTAACAGAATGTGCAGCACAGGGCACCAAGACAGACAACAATTGTGCGGCAGGATACAAAGAGGACAAACATCGCGTTCTCCTTTTCAGCACAGGGTGACAATGAGACTCCATTCGGTCTAAGAGGTTAAAGACCAAGTGGAGTGACGTGCCAAACAGCTAAAGAGGACCTGGTGAAGAATAAAAAGTAGCTTTGGCCAAGTTAACTCATATCCCCCTCTTCCTTTCCCTGTGCCAGAAAAGCCCGATTCACACAACCGACACGTCCATGGCCTCGTCGTCTGAAAGCCCTCGGACACAATCGCACCGAGCCGATCAGTTTCTGTGGCGGTGAATCGAAACTGGCTTTTCTGGACAGCAAATTTGTCTTCCAGGAAACGCCGAGCAGCGTTTTTTTTTTGTTCTTTTTGCTAATAAAGGCACTCTCTGTTTTGATAGCGACCCCCCCCTCCTTTATTTATGCTAATCAAAGGCAGTGACGCCGAGCAGGAGCTCCCCTGGTCCAATCCTCCAGACAAAGGCTGCCACAAATGTTGGTCACGCAAGAACTGATGGATTAAGGCTGCTGAAGCTCGCAACTTTATGAAGGAATTTGAGTTACAATGTTAAGGAACGCTTGGCTTTCAACTTGAAGATGCCATTTTGAACACGAAACTCGGGAGGAAATTCACATTTCACCTTGTTAAGAAAATTCCCGTTCTGGCCAATAGCGCTCCTCATTGTCATCAGGCCGGGCTTTAGCAGTAATCCCAGTCACTCTACGCCTCCGATGCTCTCTCTTGACATTTGTGTGTTGTGTGGTGACTACACACACACCGGCTGACATCTGATACTTTATTTTGGCTTCTGTGTGTACGCTATAAAGCAGCAATGCGATGGGCTTCCATTTAATCCCCAACTGCAGGGTGCTCGCTTGTCATGTCACAGAGCTGCACATTATACTCAATCCATGCTTGACTTGGAAAATGATTACACGGGTCAACACATTTTTACTACTGGTACTTTTTTTTGCGCTGATTTAGAATTTGCCCATGTTTTTTTTCTCAAGCACAGCAGGTTTTCAAAATGATAATCATCATCATCATCATCCACAAAAATACAATGTCCACCCCTTTTGCCTCAAAAATGGTTTGATCCAGTCCTCTGTCACATGGAGTAGTTTGAGTGAGTGGCCCCACCGTACTTCAACAAGGTGTCGCAAAATTTTTAACTTGTACCACTCGATATCAACACATTTGTATAAGTATTATTTTATTCTGCACTTACCCATCAGTAATTGTTTATTCTTATGAATGAATTAGCTGCAATGTTACAGGTGGACAGACAGTCCCACTTTTGCCATGCGCACGTTAATATTAAAGCCAAGGTGCTACTGACTAGCTAATAAACTAGATGCCCCGAAACTTCTTTTCCTTGAATCACACCAGTTCTATTCCAGTAATATTTTTAGTAACATTTATGAATTGAATTCAGAGTTAGGTTCCGAATTTTTTTCTGAAACATCATAACTATAAATGACAACGCATGAAAGAAATCCATAGGCCGCAACCTTTTAAAGGTCAAACTTCAAAACAAGAACTGAAAATAGCTCAAAAACTGTGCTAGAAAAAAAATGTGTGAAGAATTTTAAAAAAAGCGGCATCAAATATTATATTTTGGGTCACATAAAGCCATCTCTGATTCCAATTTGCTGTCAACAACGGTTATGAACCTCATTTTTAGAGTGCTTTTTTTTTGGCCGCTAAGACCAAGTTTTTATGGCTGTATTATGTCTTGGTTGCTGAGCGTTTTTTTGTGTTTCTAGGTCTTGGAGAAGAACATGCGACTGGAATGCAAGTGTCATGGCGTGTCGGGCTCCTGCACCACCAAAACCTGCTGGACTACACTTCCCAAGTTCCGCGAGCTTGGCTACATTCTCAAGGAGAAATATGCCCACGCAGTGCACGTGGAACCGGTCAAAGCCAGCCGCAACAAGCGCCCCAAATTCCTGAAGATCAAGAAGCCATATTCTTACCGGAAGCCCATGGATACAGACCTGGTGTACATAGACAAGTCCCCAAACTACTGCGAGGCGGACACGGTGACGGGCAGCTTGGGGACGCAAGGGCGAGTGTGCAATAAGACTATGATGCAGCACATCAGCGGCTGCGACTTGATGTGCTGCGGCCGCGGCTACAACACGCATCAGTACTCCAGAGTGTGGCAGTGCAACTGCAAGTTCTTCTGGTGCTGCTACGTCAAATGCAACACGTGCAGTGAGAGGACAGAGGTGTACACGTGCAAATGAGAATATTTATTGGTGCTGGCGTGCGTGTGGTCGTGAACACGCGTGTCTCTTTGGATCTTCCTGCGGCACGAGCAGAAGCCACTGGTGTGCGCACTTTGGGTTGGTTGGGATGCAGAGTGGCCAAACACCGTTAAGGGGTAAAACTGCACACAACTGAAGCACAAAGACTTGAATCTACACGGACACGTACGGTAGTGGGGACGAGAAATGGAATACGGCGCGCGCGATGCCTAAGCCGCGCATACTGCTGTCTGTCACGCATGGTATAACTCATCCATGTGGAATATTTAACATACTGTCTTTTATAGAATGGAGATAATTAATATTAATTTATTGGATAAGAACTACTGATTTTGTCCATTATGGGTCACAAATAACTCCATGTTGGGAGGGCTTAGTTTATTAAAGGGACCAGAAACTGTTAACACACTGGATTTGAATCCACCTGGAATCCGTCATATTAACTCGTGACCCACTTGTGTCTTCCCTCTGTTTGCTGCTAGTCCCGAGAATCCCATTAATTTTTTTTTTGTTTAGGTCGGAGCTTCAAAAACACAGGCACATTTTCCACCTTTGGTAAATATTGGTTCATAGAGTATATTTTGTAAGAGCCTATTTTTGTATGGATGTTTTTATTTATATCTGTTGCATAATATTCAACTTTAAGCTCGGACACATGTCTGTAAAATGCTGATAATGTACGTTTGCCCCTGTTGTCACTGCCGTGGTTGTGTAGTGTGAGTTATAGAAGCTGCTGTTTACTGCATTTCATGACTACTACTGATGGAATACAGGCGCAGAATAACACCAACATGGCATGATTTCATTTTTGTTTCCTCTGACAACCTCTTTCTCAGTGAGGCACTTTGCTTGAAAGCCAATGTCATAATCTTAACATCAAATGTTGGCTTCAGGTTAATGTTGCTAGTTTTACTTTTATTAGGGGGGTAATTCAAAACATTCATTCACCATTAATGATATATATATATATATATATATATATATATATATCTCCCCCTTGTCCCTCTCTTCGGCGAATAGTTTTTCAAAAATGTGTGCAGTACTTGTGTGAACTATGCAGCACAATGCAATCACTGTTTCCTTCCCTCCACTTCTTTATCAAGAGCAAAAAAAAATATCCTGCAGCCTACTTTAGGAGCTTCATTAGTGATCGTCTGTAAATGGCTAATAGTTCAAGTTTCATGACAAACATTACCAATTACTCATTAAATATTGATCAATTGAGCTTTAATCATTAGTTTAGCTTTCAGATGAACGGAGAAGTTAATTATTAATCCTCCTCGGTCATTCGGATATCACCATGCTGATAAATCCCGCTATGTCTATGTATACAATGACGACGGAAGAAAGAGATGTGCTGTGAGAGGGGAAAGTTATTCAGTCTTAATTGAGGGCCCATCTTGCAGACCGGGAAGTGGTTAAACGTGTTGGAAGAGAAGAAGTGTTTGTGTTCTAATAGCAGGGTACCGGCGTAATTGATGAGACTAGCTGGACCAACTGTCACGGTGATGGCTTGCTCAGTTGGGGGAGTGGGAGCTGTCAGGTGATAGATGACTAGCACATCTGCTTCATTCACTTCTGGGCGACTCGTTGCCACAACAACCTCAGCGGCGCTCAGAAAATGCGGGGCAGTCTCCAAGAGAGGCCGGCCGACACGTCAGGGAAATGTTAACGATGCCGGAGCCCACGGTCGTTACAGATTCCACTCTCATCGGCATGGGAGTGGAACAGAGACGGGGCTTAAGGTCTTGATGGGAAACCTGCTCCGGGTCATCTTCCAGGACAGATACATGTTTCGCCTTTGTTGCCTTTCTGAGCAATTTCCTCAGGTTAATTTACTGTGTTTTCGCCATATCATGTGTCTTTGCCGGTGCTAAAGCGCTCCGCATAAAGAACGATGGAAACAATAACGAAGGCTTGTCACTTTTGACAAAGGCCTTTCATGATATTCATACAAAAGGCTGATGTCAGGTTCGGAAGGCATTCAAAAAGCTCAGGTTAAGCCTCTGTTGAAGTTTTTTGCATGCATCACATTACCCCATGAACACATACACCTCGGAGTCTTTTGTATGTCCTCACTGCTGCTTGCAGCTTTCAAAATGTATGAATGAGAGCATAAAGAATGTGGAATGCGCTTTGGTTTTGTGTTCATACCTCAAAATAACGGTATCAAAAAGATTTTACTCCCATTTGGCATGAGCAGAAGCTCCAATCTTGAAGTTGCTTTAAGTTCCAAGCAGTGCTGTCATTTAAGCAACCACAATAACAGCAATTGTTGTAACTATACCTTACTTGGAAATGATTTAACTGGGACTGCTTATGTGCTAGCAACCTACGTGTGCTAACGCGAAAGTTGCATTTCAGGGGTGTGTGCAGTTCTCTTGAAAACTGTGCCAAAAGTGATATGTAGTAGGCCTGCATTATCTAACTTGCTATACATCAGGCAGCTTGTTTAGAGAAAACATTTTGTGGTACGTAATTATACTTTTGAATCCTTTCTTTTGATGCTACACTGCTTGCTAGGTCGCCCTCAAGTTGTGTTAGGAGTACCAGTCCATTAGTGTTACTTTTCAGAGTTGTGTGTTTTCAAAATCTCATCATCTACCTAACTACACTTGGCTTGGCGTTTTAACAAATGTACTTTTTGATTCATAATACAGTACTATCTCGGTGCGACCATTATCTTGAATGTGGTGTTCTGAAGTTACAGAGCACTTGGGATTTTTTTTCTTAAATTCTTCCAATCCTTAATAATCTTAATGGTCTCTGCCATCAAACCTTCAATAATAATCTTGCACCGGTTTGCTATGAATAAAAACCCTGTGGTGAGCTACCAAATGATCCAGCTGCCGTGTATTCCAGCTGCACAAAGTAGAAACCACACAAAGACCTCAGTAGCTTGATCCCCACAAAATACCACGTCCTTTGATATTACATGCCCCGTGCAATCACCGACATGCTAATTATACTGCGAACACTGTTTTTCCAAAAACAGGATCGGGTCCACGCCAACACGCTCAAGGGTGTGATGTGCATGTTGCTGTGAGGTTTGGTGGCGTTCCCCTTAGGAATTGTGTTTGTCAAAACACGCTCACTTTTGGAAGTGGTCTGCAGAGTTATGCTTGGTTTCGCCATGAACTCCTGCCAGTGGTTCAAATCAGAGCCGCTGATAATTCATATGCACAATGAAGCTGCCCCGACATTATAAAGACGCATGTGTGATCGGATTCAATTGACTGCTCACGTGTCAACATCCGCCGACGCTTCAATCAAACAAGTGGGGGGCATTGAAGACAGTCATTTGAAGGAGGTGGAGGCGGAGCGAGAAAGCGTGCGCTCACATTTCTTTCTCCACTTCGCCTTCTCTGGCCATAAATCTCATGACACATGATTATGTCAGTCATACTTTTGTCTTGCCTCTGGTTGAGACATGCACAAGCACCTGAGCACGGCACAGTAAATTGCAGAGCACAAAGTTGTCTTTATGTGATTCCAGAGATACTGTGAGGAGCTGCAGGAGCTCATTCAGGCACTCTCTTCGCAGCACGGTGTTTGAGGCTCGGAGATGGAAGCCAAAGATAGGAGACAATCTGCACTCCCAGCAAGAGAGATGCACAAGGCCTTGCAAGGTCTATCTGACTTCCCATGCGCTATCTGATTTGTGCATGTAAACACAGCGGTCAAATAGCTTCAAGGTATTGTCAGTGGCATTAAGGCACCTATACAAAGAGCTCTGTGGGGGGATTGTTGTAGGAGCTTTTCATAATGATTTGAAGCAACATACCAGCCCCGTTGTGCAGTCTTTTCAAAGCTCTGAAAACAAGCGTAACTGTGCGTTGAAGAAACGACATGAGAAACTGGACCGGGTTAAAGGCCGCATTTGACAGACATGATGAGGAGTTGTGCTGTTCTATTTTATTCATGAAGTAAACAAGGTTAAGTAGTACGGCGGGCCCTCATACCTGATACCCCCCCCCCCCCCCCCCACACACACACACACACACAGGACGTCACCTTAACTAAGCTTACAGTAATCCTCCAATGTCTCCGGCGTCACGACACGGGATGTTTAGAATCAAAACACCAAAGTCACTACAGACCTCTGCAGATGCTTATAGGCAACATCACTGATCGTCATCAGACCTCGTAACAGACTGCCACCCACATTCCTATGCTCAATGGCCGTTAAGATTGCTTCCACTGCCAGAGAGTTAGCCATCTTCTTAGTGATTGGTTATCAGTAAGTGTCGATTTATCGAAAACAATATTGAGAAGAGAGCAGAGCCTCGGAGATTGAATGGTAATGAATGAGGGGATGCCAGTTGACTTCCATTTTTTTCCCCCATCGAAAGTATTGGAAGCAGAAAAAATATTGTTACACCGTCAAACTTTCACCATCGAAAAACTTTTTTTTTTTTAATGCAGCTGTTCACCACACAATCGGGTGCTTTGACAGTGATGCGGGAGAGAAGAGTCAACAATGGAAAGGTGCACAAACAAGCCACGGGATGTAAACACTCGCCGTACGTGTACTTTCCTGATGGTGTCATAGCTTCCAGGCTGCAGTCTTCTGGCTGAGCAGTTGCAATGAATTCTCTCCCCGAGCATCCTACAACCTGTCCAGACACGCTCCAAATGTATCATTGCAGAAAGCCATGAAACAATTTGAGCTGGTGCTGCCAGTTTAAATAACTAGAGCATGTGGTCAGAGCTATTATATCATTAATCTTCTGCCTTCGCTCCACTCATGCCTTGCCAAGATGTGGGAACACCCTCACTTTCCACCCAAAGACGTAAAGCGATACCTGAAAGTGCACCTTTTGATATGTATCCCACAATGCTGGTGACCAAAGTGTTTTGAAGTCGGTGCCACAAACCTCTTCAAGAACGTTATCACCCTTTCATTTCCTGACGCTGAATCAAGAGGCAACAACACACAAGCGATCGGTCCAAGTACATGGGGACGTAAAATTGGGTTCCTGTATGAGGATGACGAAAATCTTTTGTGTACTGAAGTTTTACCGTCTATCTCCGAGTGCCTGCAAATAACAGTCATTGTTGGCTGTAAACACAAAGATGTCCAACAGGTAAAAATCTCAGGTCATCGCGAAAATAATTCCCACTGTGCGCTCTTCACTCTCTCGGTCGCTGCCAGTGATTAGGTTCTCATAGGAATTGAAATGAGCGGCCATGTAATGTGCCCTGAATGGCGTCCGAGTCACCGGGGGTCATTCGCTGACAGTTGCAGATGAGGCCGTGACAGTGCGAGATGATCCTGCAGTTCAGCACCGGGGCAAAGGTTTGTCTGTAGGGCAGGGGCGCACAGCTGGATGCTCGGCACTGAGGTCAGCTTCAGTGATGGTAATGAGACAAAGAATAGCACAAAAGGGAAGCGACATAAAGAAAGCAACACAATCGAGAGACAGGCACTTTCACTTTGTCTTGAATGATTTTACAGAGTCTCTTAGTCTACACCTACCGTATGTCGATTGATGATTATTGCTTTATTATGATTTGCCATTAAGACAAGACAAATGACACTGGGCGCAAACATTAGCAAGCGTCTCCTCTCTAAAGTTGGGAAATTATTTGATTTTTAAAGCAGCAAAGTGCATTCCTTCTGGAGAGAGGCGACAAAGGTCAATGATGAACTGCTGCTACCTTTCGTCCTCGAAGGACTCAAATCAATGAGCTCACTTCGACTCAACTCAACTTTATTGACAGAGCACTTTAAAAACAACCACAGGGGCGTGCAAAGTGCTGGACAGAAAGTACAAATCGGACATATAA